CCCTATGTCTTATTTTTTTAATGTCTATTTTTTTTTTTTATTCCTCAGAGTGCCAGGCATAGTAGATATTGAGTGATTAGCTGGTATAATAATCATCAAACCAACTACAAATCCCTTTGAAGTTCCAACGCCTATTGAAGGAAACAAACAAAAAATCTCTATGCCTTCCCAATACCATGCAAACTGGCCTTCTGCCAAGTGCTAGGCTTGCCAGTGAATGTGGATGGCTGGGCAGTTCCTGGGTATTTTTCAGAGCCTAATGGGAAGCTTGTGCTCAAGAGCTGCAGCTGAGTGCTTAGGAGGAGAGCCAGGCAGGAGACCCCTCAATTCCAACCACACTGTATTCTTGTCACTGGCCTCATGGTCATTAAAAACTAACCTGCAATTACACGCCAAGTAATGAGGGCAGGATTGGGTTTGGGAGGAGGCAGAACTCTTTAGGGCCAGCACAGTTTAGGGCCAGCACAGTGCTTCCTGAGGAAGAAGGTAGCCTTCCCCTACAGAAATGAGAAGAGCCGCCCCTCTCGGCCATGCTCCAGAAGAGGGGGAAATGTGAGGTTCCTGGCAAAAAGGCATTGATTCATGGTATTAGCGCTCCAAAATATGGGTTACAGAATCAGGCTCAACCATATCCTGGATTGATATGTGTGTTCAGAAGGGCTTGTAATACTCTCCTGTGTCTCATTTACCCTTCCTGCTTTTAAAGATACACAGAGGGCATAATCCCTATTTTTACACTGATGAAAATGAAGGTATGGAGAGGTTAAGTGACTCATCTGAACTCATACACACAGGGAACTGGGGGCAAAACACACATTTTCTCACAGCTTTATATTTTGTCCGTATCAAGCACTAACTTATATTATGCTAATATCCGGGAAGAATAGGAAAATACATGAAAAAGTTGAGCATTCTGGGTGAAAGGAGGGATGCTGCTTGAGCTTAGGTAGTACTTGAAGTGTATCACCTTTAGGTTTTAGTAAATTAACATATTTAAAAATCCATAGCAGAACATCATATAGACACATTTTTAAAAGTCATGTCTTATTACACAGTAATTAAGGTGAAGAGTCACCCTTGTCAAAACCACCCATGAGAGACTCCATAAAGGAAGCCTATGACAAATGCACTATCACCCATAGGGAGTGGTGATAGATAGCGGTATCATGGTGAAATTCACGACAATCAGTTTTACCCAGGACAGGCTATTGATAATGTTACAGATGAATGCTAAATACTACATGATAGGAGCTATCTGTCTGATTCAGTTTAGTTCTTCTTGCATTTTATTAAATTACCATTCCATCTCTTAGTCATATTCCCTCTCATTCACTATTATCTTGTCCTTTGAGTATTTGACAAATGTCTTCTCATTTATCCTACTATGCTGTACAATCTTCCTTTGATTCTCTATCTTTGATTTTCTTATTTTTACATCCTCTTACCTCAGTTCTACAATCTTTCCAGCATTCCCTTCTAAATGATGCCTTAAGCAGTACCTTGTGTTTCTCTCTTACTTTTGATTGCCTTTTTTTACATTCAAGTTCACTAAACTAGGTATTTTTTCCTTCTATTTTTCTTTTTTTCTTTTTCCTTTATTTTTTTAGAGTATTTATATTAGGCAGCATGCATTACCATTAGGCACGCATTAATTTACTTCTGAACAATGTAGCTGTTACTTTCTTGCTTTAGCTCAAGCAGTTCTCACTGTGCCTCTTGAAACCTGCACATAATTTTCTTGGTTGGATATTACTAGTGTCTTTCATTTTCTGCCTTCTTTATGTTAAAACTAGAATCTAATGGGGCAAATCTAACTAGTGAATAGACAACATTGCTTAGATGCCATCCACTTTTGCATTTGCAGACTTATATGCCCTCCTGCTGAAATTAAATTTCAGATCTAATCATTTATATGATATTCTCAAGGGTCATCTTCGAAAACTACCAGTTTTGTGTATCTAAGTGTCAGTGAAGGACTCCTCAGGCAAGCTATTAGACAACACACAAGGAAAGTGATAGAGAGAAGCCAAGTGGCTCTCTGGAATGGTAACAAGTGAGTTCTATACAATTTCTCCCTAAATATTTCAGGTGTCAGTTTTCAGAGTCCCAAACCAAACAAGTATGATGTGCTTTACATTCTCTCTCTCTCTTTTAAAATGTAATAGGAATTAAAAAAAACATTGTAGGAAACTTAAATCTCTTAACACTATAAATAAGATAAACATACAATATTTTTGGCACTTAAATCATTTAAAAGCTAGTTTCATCATTTTAGAAATAATTTTTATTTAAATTTGATTTTAAATAGGCAGTAAATGAAAATAAAGCTCAATTTTGATATTTTATATAGTTCAGTCTATTACACAGCATTCTCACCTTACAGATAAACATTTAGAAGATGCTTATCAAAGGAAGTAAAACATCCAACTGAATATAATTATCAATATATGCCTGATTTTAGTGTATTTTAGAGACATTAAAAATCAATGCTTATTTTGAGTTTTTCTACCTGTCATCTAGTTGTTTAAATGCTATTTTTAAATTATTCACAGTTAATTAATTAAACAAATTACTGAACTACTGTGTGCGTGATATTGGTGATGCTGTGGTGAGAAAAAAAAAAAAATTAAAGGACATACCTCCTGCCCTTTTGGAGCCTATAGTCTGGTAGAGTAGAGATGTATTTGTTGAGTGATCATGAAAATAAATTTATAATTACAAACTGAAGAAAAAGCACAGTGGTATAAGACAGTTATAGAGGAGTCTCATCACACCTAAAATGTCTCCCTAAGGCAGAGTTCCATGAGCTGAGGTTTGAAAGGTGAACCGGAATGAATAGAAGTTAACAAGATACAGGAGAAGGTGATTTACTTCAAAGGCTAAAAGAAACCTATGGAAAGGCTCAGCTGTGGGATGAGGTAACTGAAGGGCTGTATGGCTGGAGCGCAGATGGTGAGAAGCACAGGTGGCAAGAGATGCGGCCAACAAGAGGACTGGAAGTGCTCACCTAAGAGCCATGAGAAGTTGGAGGATGAGTTTAAGCACCCGGGTGACATCTTCAGATTTGGAATAGCAAAAGTGCATTCTGGCTACACTGTAGAGAACAAAGTGGAAGGAAAACAAGAGTAAAAGCAGAGGGAGTAGCTAGAAAACCCACGTGGTAATTCCAAACTAAAGGTTATGGAGATGGAACGAGAGTTGGATAGCGGAGAGGAGATCTATACAAGAAGAGCAACCCCCTGCATTTGATAATGGGTTGAATAAGTGGGAGTACAGGGAAGAAGAAAAAGGACTGAGGAAAATTTCTAGCTTTCTGGCTTATATGTTAAATGTATCAGGGTCCCGATAACCAGGCTGCGAATTTGGGGAGAGATGAGGCTGCGCAGTTAAGCAAGAATCAGATCACAATGGGAGAGCATCATATGTCATACTACACCAAATGGAGAGCTGTTGTAGAATTTGGAGCAGAGCGAAATGATCAGGTCTGTGATTTGGAGAGTTTACTCTGTTACATGATTAATAATTGGTTGGAGTTGGAGATGGCTTGGAAAGAGAGGTCATACATGGAAACTGAATTGGATTGGGTTGAAAATGAAGGTAAAGGGTAACTCATTCATTTTTTTGGAGGGGGAACTGGCTACATATTGGAGGACAAATCACTGAGATGCTCTAAATAGGAAAAAGTATGGGTTTTAAGAGGAAGATGATGAGTTTAATTTGAGATGTCCTATCGGCAGCTAGGTTTCTAGGACTGAAGCTGGAGAATAAAGTCTGTTTTGAAAATACAGATTTTTGAATCTTCAGCAATTAAAGCCCAAAGAAAGAATTTACAAGTGATGACTGTACCCCAAGAAAACCAACTTTAAAGGGATGGACAGAGTAAGAGCCTGAGAATAAAAGGACAGAGAATTAAGAGAAAACTAGAGGAGAATATGTGAAGAAGGAAGGAAGGGTCAAAAATGGCAATTGCTACAGGAGGTTCAAGTAAATTAAAGTTTTCATTGGATTTAGTGACCAACATGTCATTGGTTATCTTTTAGAAATAGCTTTAGTAGCAAGCCGGGAGAGTAAATCTAAATTGCAGTGGAGTGAGAAGAGAATGCAGACCTGTCTCCAAAGCCTTCAAAAACTGTGGCTGTGAAACAGGAGAGGGAGCTAAGAACAGTAGCTATGGAGATACATGGAGTTGGCCTCAAAAAGCATCTCGGTATTCACACACATTGTAGGACAGTTCAAATATGCTAAATATGATTCCTATGTTTCAAGAAACTTATATTTCAAGAGGGAAATCAAATGGCAATAAATCAAAATACACTGAAAGAGATGTGTGATTATGTAATACTTTGCCTGTGTAATATTTGCACCATAAATTATATAAAATGCATGTTAAGTGTTAGTTTGGGGAGGAATATGATTCTCTTTACCACAGGTTATTAGAGAACTAGATTGCGCCATGAAAAAATGAGCATAGAATATATAAGCACTTGTAGGAGAAAAGGCAAGCACCTACACCAGCTATGTAGGATGAGACTCACCAAATGCTTTAACAAATCTAAAGAATGCGTTAGTCATAAATCGACTGGTCAGCCAACAAAGCAGAAAAAAAGGAGCATAAAAAGACTGGCTGTACCAGTGAAAGAAGGGAGCTGGAATTATCAGGTGATTATAAACTCACAGTAGTTTTCAACCTTGGCTGACATCAGAATCATCCCAAGAGCTCTTGAAAATCCCAGTGCACTTACTGCCCCTCTCAGACCAATTACATCACAACCTTTGGGAGTGAGACCTGGCCCCAAGTAATTCCCGTGTGGGCTCCTAGTTTAAGGCACTGTCTCCTCTAATGTAACCATGAAAGTCATGGCTACCACGCTTCTCAGACTGTGGTCCCAATGCTGAATCATTCATGGCCACGAGATAAAGGTACTGGTGTCTTAGGCTGATACTGTTGGATATTTCAGTCATCTAGCCTTCTAGTGATGATTCCATATGTATCAATTCACCTTTTGATTATCATGCAGCATGACAACAGGGGAAGAATTGATCATGTTGACTTGAGTATTTACGGTCTCCATGATAGTTATGTCTCTAATTATAAATGTGATAGAGACAGGTTAATTAATAAATGAGGATTTTCATTTCCTCTTCATCCTCACTTCACTGAAAAGATCTTTGCTTTCAGTAGTCTTATTTCTAGGCTTTTTGTGTTATAAAATCTGAAGATTGCACAGATAAAAATGGTCTTAGAAAAAGAATAACTTTACAGTGGACAAATCTGGCAAACACTACCTTAGCCAGGTAATCAAGATAAGAAGACATATGGATTGCATGGGTTCTTAATTTGATGTAATAAAAATGATAAAATGATAAAAATGATACTTTACTTCTTTAGCCTTTCCCACAAAAACCCATAACTCCATACTTATCACAAAAACATGAGTTAAGCCCCAACTGAGGGACATCCTACAAAATACATGAGCTTGTCAAAACTATCAAAATCATCAAAAACAAGGAAAGTCTAAATCTCAGTCCATAGCCTAAGAAGACACGATGACTAAATGTAATGCAGTATCCTGGAGGGGATTCTGGAATAATATAAAGATGTTAAGTGAAAACTGAAGAAATCTGAATAAAGTACAGTTTTTAGTTAATAATAATGGATCAATACTAGTTCATTAGTTGTGGCAGACATACCACACCAAGAAATTAATAGTAGGGGAAACTGAGTATGGAGTATAGAGAAAATCTCTGTATTACTTTTATAACTTTTCTGTAAATCAAAAACTATTCTAAAATAACAAGTTTATTTAAAAATAATATTGAAATTAACTGAAATTGGATCATAGACCTGAATGTAAAATACAAAACTATAAAACACCTAGAAGATAACATAGGAGAAAATCTAGACGACCTTGAATATGGTGACAACGTTTAGATACAATACCAAAGTCAAATCCATGAAAGAAATAATTGATAAGCTGGACTTCATTAAAATTAAAAACTTCTGCACTGTGAAAGACACTGTCAAGAGAATGAGAAAGCAAGCCACAGACTGGGGAAAAATATTTACAAAAGACATATCTGATAAAGGGCTAGGACCCAAAATATACAAAGACCTCTTAAAGCTCAATAATAAGAAAACAAACAACGCAAATAAAAAAGAAATGAGAAAAGATTTGTCTTAGTCCATCTGGGCTGCCATAATCAAATATTATACATTAGGTGGCTTATAACAACAAAGTTTATTTCTCATAATTCTGGAGACTGGGAAGTGCAAGATCAAGTCCCCAGCGGATCTGGTGTCTGGTGAGGACTTACTTCCTAGTACCATTTTTCACTGTGTCCTCATAAGGCAAGGAAGGGGAAAAGAATCTCTCCTCTATAGGGGTTCCTTTTATTTTATTTATTTTTATTTTTTAAAGATTTTATTTATTCACTCATAAGAGACAGAGAGAGAGAGAGAGAGAGAGGCAGGCTCCCCACTGAGCAGAGAGCCCAATGCGGGACTCGACCCCAGGACCCTGGGATCACGACCTTAGTCGAAGGCAGACGCTTAACCATCTGAGCCACCCAGGCACCCTATAGGGGTTCCTTTTATAGGGCACTAATTCCATTCATTAGCACTCCACATTCATGACCTAATCACCTCTCAAAGGCCTCACCTCCTATTATCATCACCCTGCCAGTTAGAATTTCAACATAGGAATTTTGGAGGGGACATAAACCCTCAGTCCATAGCAAGATCTAAAGAGACATCTCACCAAAGATGATACACATGCAGATGGCAAATGAGCATATAAGAAGATGCTCAGTATCATATATCATTAGGAAATTGTAAATTAAAACAAGGAGCTACAACTACACACGTATTAGAATGGCCAAAATTCAAAACACTGACAACACCAAATGCTAGTGAGGATGTGGAGCAATTGGAACCTTATTTGTTGCTGGTGAGATGCAAAATGGTACCACCACTTTGGAAGACAGTTTGGTGATTTCTTAGAAAACTAAACATACTTTTACTATAGGATCCACCAATTGAGCTCCTTGGTATTACAAAAATGAATTGAAAACTTATGTACTCAAATGTTTATAGTAGCTTTATTCATGCTGCCAAAACTTGGAAGCAACCAGGATGTCCTTTAGTAGATGAATGGATAAATAAACTGTGGTGCAATCAGACAATGGAAAATATTATTCAGCATTAAAAAAGAAATGAGCAATCAAGCCATGAAAAGACACAGAGGAAACTTAAATGGATATTACTAAGTACAAGAAGTCCATGTGAAAAGGCTACATAGTGTATGATTCCAACTATATGGTGCTCTGGAAAAGGCAAAACTATAGAGACAGTAAAAAGATCACTTTGCCAGAGGTTTGAGAGGAGGGAGGGAGGTGGAGCACAGAGGGTTTTTAGGGCAGTGAAACTACTCCGTATGATACTATAATGGTGGAGACATGTCATTAAACATTTCTCAAAACCTAAAGAATGTACAACACCATGAGTGTACACTATCAAAAATCACCAAGAGTGTACACTATGAACTTTGAATGATAATGATTGTCAATGTAGCTTCATTTATTGCGACAAATGTACCACCCTGGGGGTGGGGGTGTTAATAATGGGGAAGCTATGTATGTATAGGGTTAGGGGGTATATGGGAACTGTCCATACTTTCCAATCAACTTTGCTTTTAACCTTAAACTTCTCTAATATATGCATTCTATTTTGAAAAATTTATTCAGTATGGGAGAGTCTGCTGAAGAGATGAAAAGATGTAGGCTAAGACATAATAAAGGTCTAGGTGGCTCTGTCGTGCAATGGATAGCGCATTGGACTTCTAAGACATAATAAAGGTCTGACTTTCCTAGTAAAATATTTCTTGTGTTTCTAGGCTCAGATCATTAGGCTCTAATCAGATCAATGAGAGAAGGCTTGTGTCAGTTTTGCTTATCCCTCTATTCCCAGTGTCTGTCATTCTGACAGAGTACCTAGAACACGGTAGCTGCCCAATAAGTATTAATAAAATGAATGAATAAATGAAATGCCTCCTGTTCCATGGAATTTTCCCTAATTACCCTTAAAGAGATTAAATCATTCCATTTATGTTTCTCAGGTACATTTCTTGTTCCTTTATTTTATTTCATGTTTTATTACATATTTGCATGCAGCTGTCCCACATTACCCTCCACACATCTAAATACATATCGTATACACATACACACACATACACACATATATGAGCGCGCGCGCACACACACACACACACACACACACTAGACCGAAGTTCCTTGAAGACAAAGACTGGGCTTCATTTATATCTTTCATCTGCAAACATTTAGCTTGGGTGAACATTCATACATGCTTGTTGAATTGAGTTTTACTTTGTTTGCTATGACCAGTTTAAAATTTCTTATTTAGTTGTAATTACATAGCAAATACAAAGTTATTAGCTATTAAATTAATATGAGATAAATGTATTTATTAATCTAATTAATACCTAACAAGAACTGGCAAGCAACTCTGTTCTGTATCTAGCTGGTACTAGATTCTGAAAAAGCGTTTCATATGCTATTTGTAATCTCAGGGCCATTGTTTAGTGTTATGTGCTCAGAAGCCAATTTGATTTCCTTGTGGAAATTTTCCTAAACCAGCAGCATGCATGTGAAGTGGAAAGATTACTGGACCAATGGGAATCTGGAGACTGGGTTCTACTTAGGTCCCAGAGTTTAGTGAATTGTATGGCCAGTGGTAATTCTTTTCATTGTCACGCCCTGAGGTATCCCTTCTTAAACAAACAAACAAAAATGAACTAGATAATATGTAAGAACATTCTAACTCCAATATTTGTTGTCATTTAAAGCTCTTAGAAAATCTAACGGGATCCCTAAATGACAAGCCAGTTCTCTGCTCATGCATTTTTCTGGCCACAAGATGGCGGACTTTGTGTTGTTTTCTAACAGTAAAAAGAAATTTGACCTTGCAGTTTTGAAAGTTTAAAACACCCAATTCCTTAAAAAGTCTGATAAATGTAACATGGACTTTACATTCTAACTTTTCAAAGTGTCTTAAATGCTTTGGATTTTCACAATAAAGATTTCCTCTTTTGTGTGGGAATACTGATTTAGACTGTACTTCTATACAAATGCAAATATCCTGTGATGAGATCAAAGCGTCTGTAAGTATTTTCATTTGTTTTTCTTTTTCCTTACATAGTCAAAGACAGTGCTGTTGGAATTCAAAATTGATAAAAACTTTTATGTGTGACTGGATAGAATTTTCAAAATATACTGTCACTCTGATATTTTTAGCCCTTGTCCTTGACACTACCCAAGCATCACAACTTCCTTTGATGCTACTGAGTTTCAGGATTTTATTTGAGGCAGAAGTAGCAAGTCAAAATACATCTACTTCATGCACCAAATTGGGAATTAGAAACAACAATATTTGCACTTCAGAAATTTGATGTAATTTTCCTTAAAATACATGATCTATCTGCTATAAGAAGATTCATGACCCTCCCAGCTTACCCTGGTCAGAAGCTCATTCATTTCCGACACGAGCGTGTTCAGGTTGCCCTCTGCCAATTGAATGAGCCTCTCTGGGGCCCGCTGAGGTGAGAGCAGGTGCTGAAAAAGATTTCATTCCACATACATTTTAGTAAAAGGTTTTGCAGTGATTATGGGGTTGCACATTTAACACAACAGTTTTCCTTTTTATACAAAGTATTTCACCATCTCGCCTTCAAAGGAAAGATAAACCATTTCAACTGGGCACATATATATGAAGTGCTATGCAAAATATCCTGGCAAGCAATGCAAATTGCAGTCATTTATTGAAAAATTACTATGTGCCAGGCTTTTTTTCCCCACTTAATTCTTACAACAATTCTATGAGGTAAATGTTTTTTTGTTTTGTGTCTGAAGAGACTCTGGCTCGAAGAAAGTTAAAACTTGCCCAAGATCACATGGCCAGTAAGGGGTAGAGTCAAGATGAACTCTGATTGTTCAAGGCTCCCATTTCAACCAATAGAGAGTTTACAGGAAAGAAAGAGAGGAGGGGTCTGGCCAGGCA